GTCTGATGCAAGCTTCCTGGTGCCTGCACTTAGGAGCTTGGTAGCTTTGGGTTTTCCTCACCTGGCATAACTGCTCCCTCAGGACTTGCTTCTGTCCTGCCTCTCTGACTGGTTCCTGCTCTCTCAGGTCTTCATGGTAGCCCAGGTCCCTCCTAAAGATGGTCACTGGCCACAGCCATCTGAGCCTCTTGGAACATCTCTGGTGGTCACCCATCCAACAGGGGAAGTCACTGTTTCTGCAAATTTCGAACTGGAATTGGGGGAAGCTATGAGCTTGTCCAATGCATAGGACTGAGAGACTTCACTAGAGCTATGCAGCTTATCTTTTGCATAAGCTTCTGCCTCCCTTCCCCTGCCAGGCACCCCAGGGCTAGCTGCCTTCTCTTCTGCACACCATCCTTCTGTTTCTTTGCAATTTCCAACTGTCATGTTACCTCCTTTCAGGGATTTCCAAAGCTCTTCTCTTCCTCTGAAGCAGTGCCTATTTTTTTTTTTTATAACTTGACATTCTTCCTTTACCAACTCACAGAGCCAAAACTTACCAAGAAATCAGGAAGTCATTGTTTTTGCTTTCTCTTAAATGGTTGTGAGAAAATGAAAAACACTATGTCATAGCAAATGAAATTTATATACAATTATAATCTTGTTACTCTACAAAATTTTAGACCTCATGGCTTTTAAATCTAGCCTAGGGTATAAATGACACCAAATTAATTGATTTAAATTTCTGCATGCCAACATGCTTTTTACAACAGCTTAATCCGATCAAGTTTAACCACAATCATGTTGATTTTCCTTAGAAAGTTGGTGAAATCAGAAGGAAAAAATGAATGTTTCACCAAAAACACTGACTGAGTATGCTTTTTATAGAAAACAAAAAACAAAACAAACAAAAACAAAAGACAAAAAAATCCAAGGTTTCTTCTGGTTACTGGAGAAATGGCTCAGCACCTAAGAGCACTTATTGCCCTTACAGAAGACCTGGGTTCAGGGCCAGGAACCCATGTGATGATTCACAGCCACATCTGTAACTCCAGCTCCAGGGCATCCTTCTTCTGGCCTCTCAGAGCATCAGGCATGCACGCCATGTGCACACATACATTCAGGTAAGACTCTCATACACATAAAATAAAAATAAATAAAACCTTAGAGAAGAAAAAGAAAAACAACTGTGATCTTCAAAAATAAAGGTCCTAAATGAATTTTAAGATTAGTTTAAATAAAAATAAAAGCAATATGCCATCTAAAACAGTGAGTTCACAAACTAATACAGAAGAGTGTAAGGTGAGTTGGTGTTCTATAAATGCATGTTCATCAGAAAAAAATCAAAAACATAATAACCTCTATGACACGCTGAAACAATCCTCTTAATTTACCTTTGGCTATTTCACAAATGTCACAAGAGAAATTAGACCCTGTGAAGACATATTTCTTTCTTTCTTTTTTTTAATGGAAACAAGAGTAGGGCTGGCTCCGTGGTTAAGACTGCGTGCTGCTCTCCCAGAGGACCTGAGTTTGGTTCTCAGCACCTACCCCTGTAACTTTAGCTCTCAGGGACCCAACACCATCTTCTGGACTCCATGAGAACCTGAACATGGATGACACCTGCACATGACTGGCGCATACACATAGATAAAAATAGAATAACAAATAATGCAGTACATAATATAGCACCACCCTTGTAATTCGGAATAGAGCCAAATGTATTAAAGACATGAAGGTTAAAAAAGGAATAAAAGGAAATAAAAATATTTTCTTTTGACTCCTCATCCAACCTTTCCTTTTCTTAGTAAAATACTGTCGTTGTGAGAATCCAGAGCCAGCCAGGTTGCTTTTACTGTAGCAATTGTTTTTGCATTGCTGTCCTGACCAACTTCTCTAACATTCATTCGGCATGGATGGATGAACAAATTGTGCATTATGTAGCTTAGCTCACCTCCAGATGCTTCTACTTTGAAAGCTGGGAGCACCATAAAGTGTGTATGTGCACAAGTGCAAGATTTATGTGTGACTGTGTGTGTATTGTTACAAGGTCTTTTTCATATAGCCAAGCTAACCTCCAATTCCCTATGTAGCCAAAGATGACTTTCAACTTCTGTTCCTCCTGGTTCCACCTCTGGTACCTGGGATTTTATGTTCATTTTCCATCCCATCACACCCAGGTTTTCTAATGCTGAGTGTGGAAGCCAGTACTGCATGCATGATAGACAAGCACTCTACCAACTGGGCTCATTCCCAGCCCCTCTCATAATATTTTATTGGAACATATGAATAGCTATTGTGTACCTGTTTCCTCATGGCTGCTTTTGAGCTACAAGGGCAGAATTGAGTTGAAGAAACAGATTTTAATGGGGCAGAGAAACCAAAACAATTTCCTTTGAGGCCTTTACAGAAAATCTTTGATAGCCTTTAATCTCAAAGAGTTCGGAAGGATTTGAAATTTGTTCAGGATAAGAAAATCACACACACACACACACACACACACACACACGCAAAATCATTCATTAATAATTCTATCAGTTCCCAAGATATAGAACTGCAGTAGGTAAGACAGAGCCTCAAGCTAAAAAGGCTCACAAATCAGAATAAGTATTAGGGGCATGTATACCAGAGTCTCAGCTACACAGTGTTAATAAGATTCATTCTCCCTCTCCTTCTGGGAGGGGGCAACACTACAGAGATGAAGCCTGAGATTGCACAAACAGGGTAACTTTCCCTGTGTTACACACTCTGCTCTGGACAAAGCTAGGATTTCTACCTACTGCAGTTAAACTCAATGGCGTATTCAATGGGTGTGGCTCAATGGGTGTGGCTTTGTGGTAGAATGTGTGTGGTCCTGGGTTCCATCCCAAGCACTGGAATCCAAACCAAACCAAACTCATGTCCTTTTTCTTACGGTGCAGGGGATGAACCTGGGTCTTGTCTATGCTAGGCAAGAGCTCTTCTACTCAGCTACACCTGAAACCCCACTTTTTTAAAACCATAACTGAAACTCATGGCTATTTATTATTTTCCTAAACCTCTCAGCAGCTGTGGGATGGATGAACATGATCTCTACAAAACAGACAAACAGACAACAAAAACAAACAAAAACTCAACTCTGATTCTATAATTAGAAGCATGTTTGTTTGTCATAAGCTATCCAGAGCACCAAGTCTGCTTTTCTTGACTATCTGCAAGGTAAATGTTGCAGACCCTGTTCCCACGTTCACTTGACCTGGGCCTTGACCTGGCCCAACACACTTTCATAGTCCAGTCCTGGGAGCAGCATTTAATAAAACATTTGGAAGAGACTGGCCTCCAATCCAGCAAGGCAACTCGGTTCTTCAGTATTTGACCCTCTTCAGAGATGGCTAAATGCTTCCTGTGACAATTACAGAGAGGAGACCTCAGCAGCTGTGAGATGGAAGATGGAGGGTCTATATTTTACCAGTGAAATCTCAAAGCAGATAAGATTGAGGCTACATCGTGGTCACTGGGGAAATTAATTCCACCCCAGGTGAGTATACGTGCCTCATGGGGAGTTATGGCGATGAAGAAACTAAAAACACCTACCAAACTTGATTCTGGAGAGTTCTCTTCGGCCCTTAAAGGGCATGGGAATTCCTCCAGAGATGCCTAACCCCTGAAGTTCTTCCGTTGGTTATTGTTTTACGTTGCTGTGACCAAGCCCTTGATTAAAAACAACTTAAGAGAGGAGGGATTTCTCTAAGTTAAGTTTAAGAAGGGGCACCGCCCATCTTGGCAGGGAAAGCATGGCTGCCAAAGCTGGTTTAACGTGTGTCCTCCGCAGTCCAGGCAGCAGACAGCAAGTGGAGCAGGGCTCTAAAACTTCAACCGCTTCCTCCAGCGAGCCTTCCAAAATAGCCTCATTACCTGAGGACCAAGTGTTTAAATACTGGAGCCTCTGTGTGGGAGGGCAGGAGGGGAGGGCGGGGGAGGGAGGGTGTTCCACACTCAACCCATAGTAACAGGGGCACCTGGCCTAAAGCCTTAGCTTCCTCATTCTCTGCAAATATCAAACTCTGGATGAGCAGAGCCACAGCCTTCGGCTGCAGTGTCTCCCGTCAAGCGTTGTTGCGCTAACAGAAATGAAAGGTTTTTGTGTCTCCAAATACACCTCTAGTCATATATCTATTATGGCTCTGGAACTTTAAAGCTCCTCCCCAGGCACTGCAGTCCCTTGCTCTTCTGCAACCTGTATCCTTCCACAAAGACATCTTTTCCTTTGAGACTTTCACATCATCAGCTTCCTAGCGCAGACCTGAGTGGTCTTTGCCCGAACCTGGGATTTTTGTTTGTGTTTCTCATTTCGCTGATTGGTTTTATTGCTTCACATTTAAAATGCTTCTGTAAACTGCCCCTCCCCAGAATTGTAATGTCTGGTATAACTAACTGTCCTATCAAGTCATGTTCTCAACTATCCAATTGTTTCTAAAACATTTGGGGGGCTCGAACTCTCATTTAAGGAGTCCTATTCTAGAGCAAACACCCCAGTGTCTGAAGGCTAGCTCTTGCCAAAGTGGCATGGATGAGGGATTTTTAGAATCGAAATGTGTCTAAAACTAATTACAACCAAAGCAGTTTAGTGGGGCCATCAAGAGCCCAGCTTTGAAGGCGACCTGACCAGTGTGGAGAGCTTCTTTGCTTTGACTCTGAACAAAGAACCAATCTTTATATTCCTCCCTTTCCTCAATCTTAAACTAGGATGAGGCGTTAGCATCTGCCTTCTACAGCTGTTAAATAGGATTCATTGAATTAACCTGTAAAGAGCTTATAATCAATCACACCTAGGAACATGAAGAAGTGCCATATTGTTGATTCCACAATTGAAATACAGGCATTTTAGAAAAGAATGTAAAGGGGGTTCAATCCCCAGGACCTTGTAACCTGGGCTGAGATACCTGAGTCTACGCATGCACACACCCAGAGAGGGAGGGAAGGAATGGAGAGAGAGATACATGGAGGTTTAAACATGCTTTTCTTTCTGTCTCCTTAAGGTCCAGACTACATAAAAGATCACTTGCCTAAAGTTCACCAGCATACCGCCTATATAGGAGAAAAGCGTCCAGCATTAGAGAAAACTGGAGATCTCAAATATTTATGGAGGCCTGCTTCAAACCGAAGCCTGCCGGCAAAATACAAACACGAGTACACTGGTGGAATTGGTTGGGGGATACCACAGTACAGTTTCTTCAACAGATCAAGACTGGAAAGTGGCTTTCATATCCAGGTACTGCTCTTAGCTTCGTGCTTTCCGTCGGCTCCTTGTGTTGTGATTTGAATTCATTGTGAGTTTGCATCATAGACAGTGCCAGGTTCTTAATCACACTGAGAAAAAGTGACATTTAAGGTTTGCAGGAAGGTAAGTGCTGGGATTAACAAACTTACTAGCAGCTTGCCCTTTTAGCCCTTTAGAGGAGAGGAAAGGTAGAAAAAAAGTGAAGCTCTGTGCCGGGGTAGGGACTGTACCAGTGCCACGTGAATGCGGGGACATTTGCACATGTCCCCATACTTGCACTGCTCTGTGAGTGGGCTGGAGGAAGAAGGTGGTGCTGAATTTCATAAACAGTGTCAGATCTTGAATGTCACCATGCTGAGCATGCTGTGTGGGTGGTCAGGGCTCTTCAGTCTAGAACCCTTGTCTTGTTACCTTGGATGGTGTGGACCAAGGTGGGTGCCCACACATTCCTCTCGAAAACAGAAAGAAATATAAATGATTTTAGAAGCAGTGTCTGAGAATTTGAATGTATACACAGACAGGCTTGGGCACCTTCTATACACTGATGATGTATTACGCAGTGGCAGAATTTCCAGATTTACCCGCATCGTTTTTTGTTTTCTTATTTTAAAATTGGTTGCGTGTGCATGTGTCATGTGCCTGTGAGGTATAGTGGGAGTGGGGTGGGGTATGTGTACATGTATGGTATATGTGTGTTGTAGGGGGACTGTATGTGTGCATTTGTGGTATATTTATGTTGTTTGGGGTGTGGGTGTGTGCATTTGTGGTATTTGTATGTTGTATGTAGGTCGTGTGTGTATGCATGTGTGGTGTATGTGCATGTATTGTATTTGTGTGTGTGGTATGCCTGTGTGCTCTGTGTGTGTGTGTGTGCATGTGTGGTATGTATGTGCTGTGCATGTATGCATGTGTGGTGTATGTGCATGTATGGTATGTATGTATGTGGTGTGCCTGTGTGTTCTGTGTGTGTAAGTGTGTTGCACAGAAACTGATCTTGCTTAGCAGAAGCTTTAAGCCATGAAGCTTTCTGTCCTGCCATCTTAACAGCAATTCCTACCTGTCTTATAGCAACGTTAAATAGCTAACTTTTTTTTTTGAATTTTTGTATTTTGTTTTTATTTTTCACTTTAAAAAAACGGGTGAGGAAAGCCGTAATTAGTACAATTCTCAACCAAGTGAAACAAGCGATGTAGGGAATCAACCAACCCAGCAATGCAGTGGGAGACCAGGAAAATCAGAATGTGCATGGGACCCTCAGGAGCTGTTACTAAGGTTTGGGAAAAGTTATAAAACAACAAAGACCACCACCAATACCAACACTGTACAAGCTACACAATAAAACATTCTTATCATGACACATTATATGAATAATTACCAAACACACTTTGAAGCACGGTGGACATTAACAAAGTACGTTGTAGCTGATCGAACGCCTCAGCCACAGAAAACCACAAGTCTAGCTGAGACCGTCTTGCTGTTACAGCTCAGCAGTTATACGTCAGCCACACCAGTATCTCAGAAGAGACTGTTTTCTGAGGTAGGCAGTTTCTCAAGTTAGCCTACTTTGCTTGGTCAAGCGGTTCCAGAATAAGGGGGCTGTAAATTTCTGAAGAATGTTTTGCTGTGCGAGTACTCTCCAGAGCTGAATCAACTGTCCCAGACCAAAGGCCCCGCCCACTCCTGGACCATCCTGACTAGCTCCTCCCTCCCTTCATATACTTCCACCCCAAAGGTGTGTTGAGGTCAGACTTCGTCTTCTTTCTTGCCTTTTGTCTTCTTACCCTGTGCTCCAAAATCTAACAGTAACTCTTAAGTGTAAAAGTTCAACAGCCAGCTTTATATAAGAAATGGATAAAAATGATAATAATAAACATTTAACAACAACTTTCTCCCCGTACATTCTCTAGAACTGCTAACTAGAAAACAACAATAATTTTACTTTTTTATTAAATTATTTTATTTATTTATATTCCAAATGTTGCCCACTCTTCCTGGACCCCCCTCTCCCAGTCCTTCACCCCATTCTCCTCCCTTTGCTTCTGAGAGGGTGCTCCCCCACCTACTCACCCCTCCCTCATGCGCCCCCACCAGCATCCCCCTTTCCTGGGGCATCACGTTTCTACAGGATTAGGTCCATCCTCTCCTACTGAGGCCAGACAAGGCAGTCCTTTGCTACAATGTACACAGGGCTACGGACCAGCCCATGTACATGCTCTTCGGTAGGTGCCTTAGTCTCTGGAAACTCTAAGGGACCTGGGTTAGTTGATACTGTTGTTCTTCCTATGGAGTTACAATCCACCAATAATAATTTTAGAATGATTTATTCTGGCATGGTTAATGTCCATTTTTCTTTTCTTTTAATTAAAATAGAATTATATCATGTTCCTCCCTTTTCCCTCATACAGCTCCTCCCATGTGGCCCCCACCCCATGCTCCCCACTCATCTTAAAATCTTGGCCTCCTTTTCTTTAATCTTAGACACTTCCTTAAAGGAGCCACTGGATTTAGATTTTTAGAGTAAGGAAAGACTCTGAGAATGACGGTATGTGCTAACTGAAAAAGATTGCACCCATTAACAAAGGACCACCCGCAACTGACCTACCTGTTAAGATCTGTGTGTCACTGGGGCTGCTAATCCTCCCCCTCCAAATCCCAGGCCTGATTTCCTGTGCATGGAACGTGAAAATTTAAGTCTAGACTCAGATTTCAATTCCTTGTTAACCCATTTACTTTCATCCACTCATATCCAGCACATGAATTTACATTTGGAGATATACATACCAGTTCCATGTATACACACCTGCTGAAAGTACATGAGGTATAAGGAATCAGATCTAATGTTGCAGAACTGTAATCCCATCGTTTGGGAGATTGAGGCAGGGAAATCACAAGTTCAAGGCCAACCTGAGCCACATGGATAGACCTTGTCTCATCAAAAGAAAATGGGAGGGCAGAGAAAGAGAGAGAGAGGCAGGGTCAGAGAAGAGAGAGAAGGGAGGGGAGGAAACAAAGGAGGGGAAACAGAGAAAAGAGAGAGGAGAAAGAAAGTGTGTAGGAGAGATTGGAGGGACAGGAAATAATAAGAGGAGAGTGGTAGCATCAACTAAGGTCACCTTATAGAGGATAGTGGATGTCATTTGTTTCCCTGCAATTTCTTGAACATATGTATCCATTTCTTGTCCATCCTATTGCACATCAAAATGACTACTTTTCATTCTGGCTGCCCTCAGCGTACTGTATGCCATAGCTCAGAACTGTAGTTTTAACACAGACCTTTGCTGGATGTGTATAGCTCCAGCAGCTGTGCTTCCTAATTTAAGTCTCAGGTCACTCTGAGACCTGTAGCCAGGATGCTCAGGCACTTCCAAGGTACTTCTACAACAGTGCCTGGGGGCATCCACCTCCTACCTGGAACCAACTCTCTTATTGGAGGCAAAAGGAGGGTTCCACGGATCATGTGATAAATTATCTAGCTTGAGCAGAGAGATAATAACCTCCATGCTGAGTGCCACGTACCATACTGTACAGGTCAGTGAAAACTCATCAGAATGACTCTGTGTGTGTGCGTGAGTGTGTCTGTCTGTCTGTCTGTCTCTGTCTGTCTGTTTGTCTCTCTGTGTCTCTGTCTGTCTGTCTGTCTCTCTGTGTCTCTGTCTGTCTGTCTGTCTGTCTCTCTCTCTCTCTCTCTGTGTACTATAGCTATTTCTACTTAGCATTGTGTATGTTATAGTATCATAGTAATGAACACACACACACACACACACACACACACACACACACACACATATATATATATATATATATATATATATATATATATATATATATATGCAATCAATCAGGAAAACCCATTATTTGTTCTGTTCGCTCAGATTCAAGAGCAGTACATTCTTATTGTTTAAATGGATTTGGTCTCTGCCAAACTACATATTTCATTTCTATACGAATAAAATGGAGCCAATTGAAACAATGCCCGTGGCCTTCTGACTGCCTCTCCAGTGGCCTGCCTCCCCACACCGGCCTTTCTTTAACCCAAACGTCAGTAAGGTCAGCTCACTTCCTGATGCCCGTTTTCTGCTCCTGCACTCTGACCTCATGACAAATTGATTTAAGTCAGTTGCTTTCCCCACAGAAATGATGCCATATTGGGCTTGGTCTGCCATTCTTCACTGGTAAGATTCCCAAGACAACATTAAATCAATTCACTGCAATACATATTATAGCCATTGTGTTTTACAACACAGAAATCCACCTGTATACTCAGATGCGATGTGGTTAATAAAAATTTTCCAAGCTTTCATAGTTCTGCCACAGTTTTAACCACCATGAATTCTACAGCATCTTCTATAGGCTTCTTTTGACAGTTTGATGGCATCCAAATGAATTTCTGATAAAATGGCTGATGGATTCAGTTTATCCTCAATTGGTTGGTTTGTTGAACATTTTCCTCACTAGTGATTAATTTAGGAAAGATAAATAAGAAAATACCTACAACTGATGTGTTAACGAGGACACACTGTGATTCTCTCTATGACAGCTCAGACTGTGGTATGGACAGGTGAGCTCTTTACGTGAGGCCACAGCTAGTAACTGACAGAGCCAGGACTTCAGCAGAGGCATGTGAATGAAGCACACAGTAAGAGAATAGATGCAGACCAAAATGAAAGGCTGGGCTTCAGCTGATTTGTCATGTGCACACTGTGTCCCACTGGGTCGAGTCTAGTTGCTTCTTTGGCTAAAGCCTGTATCTTTTTCTCCGTACTCTGCCAGTGTTCTCCCAACTTTCCACTCAGCACCATTCCACACAGCACACCTCATCTGTAAATTGCTCATAGGTACCAGCCAGATAGTGGATGGAATAATAATTTGGTCATGATTACTTCTGAAATTTTAATCTAAGAAATATTTGATAGCTCCTCAAAACAAATCAAATATTATCAGTAGTATTATAGAAGCTAGAAAGATCCTCTCAGCAGATGGCCTCATCTCTC